TGCGGTATACCATCTTTTCCGCAAGTTTTTTGTTTTTTCTATTTTGTATTAGATTAAAATTAAGATCCATTTTGTTACATCTGTGATCCGTTTATTTGGCAATCGCCATGGCAGTCAGCAGGGTTTAAGAACATCCGTTGTTCGACCTGCTAGTCAAATGCGTTTTGTTAAAATATACTTTTTCACTTTTTGGTCTTTTGGAAAATGTTGTTTGTGCCGTATTTAGACCCCTCTACCAGGAAATTTGTTTTGCATGCACACGTATTAAAATTGCAGTTTTTATCCAACGCAATCATAGGTTTGAACGTTGATTTCAATTTAGACTTGTTTATATTTTTTCGTTTGGGCTTGTATTATATTTGCCTTCGGGTTTATATGATCCGTTCATCCTATTTCGACTCTTCAAAATTCAAGAGTCAATCCCAAATTGAGGTAAATTATATGGCCTTCCAAATACCGTTTCGATTCCTAACATCACTGAAGAGACATTAGTTGTCGAAATCCGGATATGGTGTACAAATTTTTGCACCTCATGTTTGCGGTATACCATCTTTTCCGCAAGTTTTTTGTTTTATCTTTTTGGTATTAGATTAAAATTAAGATCCATTTTGTTACATCTGTGATCCGTTTATTTGGCAATCGCCATGGCAGTCAGCAGGGTTTAAGAACATCCGTTGTTCGACCTGCTAGTCAAATGCGTTTTGTTAAAATATACTTTTTCACTTTTTGGTCTTTTGGAAAATGTTGTTTGTACTGTATTTAGACCCCTCTACCAAGAAATTTGTTTTGCATGCACACGTATAAAAATTGCGGTTTTTATCCAACGCAATCATAGGTTTGAACGTTGATTTCAATTTAGACTTGTTTATATTTTTTCGTTTGGGCTTGTATTATATTTGCCTTCGGGTTTATATGATCCGTTCATCCTATTTCGACTCTTCAAAATTCAAGAGTCAATCCCAAATTGAGGTAAATTATATGGCCTTCCAAATACCGTTTCGATTCCTAACATCACTAAAGAGACATTAATTGTCGAAATCCGGATATGGTGTACAAATTTTTGCACCTCATGTTTGCGGTATACCATCTTTTCCGCAAGTTTTTTGTTTTTTATATTTGGTATTAGATTAAAATTAAGATCCATTTTGTTACATCTGTGATCCGTTTATTTGGCAATCGCCATGGCAGTCAGCAGGGTTTAAGAACATCCGTTGTTCGACCTGCTAGTCAAATGCGTTTTGTTAAAATATACTTTTTCACTTTTTGGTCTTTTGGAAAATGTTGTTTGTTCTGTATTTAGACCCCTCTACCAAGAAATTTGTTTTGCATGCACACGTATAAAAATTGCGGTTTTTATCCAACGCAATCATAGGTTTGAACGTTGATTTCAATTTAGACTTGTTTATATTTTTTCGTTTGGGCTTGTATTATATTTGCCTTCGGGTTTATATGATCCGTTCATCCTATTTCGACTCTTCAAAATTCAAGAGTCAATCCCAAATTGAGGTAAATTATATGGCCTTCCAAATACCGTTTCGATTCCTAACATTACTGAAGAGACATTAATTGTCGAAATCCGGATATGGTGTACAAATTTTTGCACCTCATGTTTGCGGTATACCATCTTTTCTGCAAGTTTTTTTTTTTTTTCTATTTGGTATTAGATTAAAATTAAGATCCATTTTGTTACATCTGTGATCCGTTCATTTGGCAATCGCCATGGCAGTCAGCAGGGTTTAAGAACATCCGTTGTTCGACCTGCTAGTCAAATGCGTTTTGTTAAAATATACTTTTTCACTTTTTGGTCTTTTGGAAAATGTTGTTTGTGCTGTATTTAGACCCCTCTACCAAGAAATTTGTTTTGCATGCACACGTATAAAAATTGCGGTTTTTATCCAACGCAATCATAGGTTTGAACGTTGATTTCAATTTAGACTTGTTTATATTTTTTCGTTTGGGCTTGTATTATATTTGCCTTCGGGTTTATATGATCCGTTCATCCTATTTCGACTCTTAAAAATTCAAGAGTCAATCCCAAATTGAGGTAAATTATATGGCCTTCCAAATACCGTTTCGATTCCTAACATCACTGAAGAGACATTAATTGTCGAAATCCGGATATGGTGTACAACTTTTGCACCTCATGTTTGCGGTAAACCATCTTTTCCGCAAGTTTTTTGTTTTTTCTATTTGGTATTAGATTAAAATCAAGATCCATTTTGTTACATCTGTGATCCGTTTATTTGGCAATCGCCATAGCAGTCAGCAGGGTTTAAGAACATCCGTTGTTCGACCTGCTAGTCAAATGAGTTTTGTTAAAATTTACTTTTTCACTTTTTGGTATTTTGGAAAATGTTGTTTGTGCTGTATTTAGACCCCTCTACCAAGAAATTTGTTTTGCATGCACACGTATAAAAATTTCGGTTTTTATCCAACGCAATCATAGGTTTGAACGTTGATTTCAATTTAGACTTGTTTATATTTTTTCGTTTGGGCTTGTATTATATTTGCCTTCGGGTTTATATGATCCGTTCATCCTATTTCGACTCTTCAAAATTCAAGAGTCAATCCCAAATTGAGGTAAATTATATGGCCTTCCAAATACCGTTTCGATTCCTAACATCACTAAAGAGACATTAATTGTCGAAATCCGGATATGGTGTACAAATTTTTGCACCTCATGTTTGCGGTATACCATCTTTTCCGCAAGTTTTTTGTTTTTTATATTTGGTATTAGATTAAAATTAAGATCCATTTTGTTACATCTGTGATCCGTTTATTTGGCAATCGCCATGGCAGTCAGCAGGGTTTAAGAACATCCGTTGTTCGACCTGCTAGTCAAATGCGTTTTGTTAAAATATACTTTTTCACTTTTTGGTATTTTGGAAAATGTTGTTTGTGCTGTATTTAGACCCCTCTACCAAGAAATTTGTTTTGCATGCACACGTATAAAAATTGCGGTTTTTATCCAACGCAATCATAGGTTTGAACGTTGATTTCAATTTAGACTTGTATATATATATATATATGTACAAATATGTAATCTTTTCGAAAAAAAGCAATGATTTCCAAAGCGAAGTAAATACATGTACAATTTTGATATGGAAATTTGTGCATCTCCAGCTATGGAGTTCCAGGCTTATTAGTATTTCAAGAAAATGACACTCAGTGACTGCAGCTATCACCGGAGAAATGGGTATACTCTATTTAAAACATTTTCGTCCGCCTGTATTTAATATAATTATAAATTTACATTTCATAGAAAACTGACTAGATTCACCTCCAAACCGATATTTTACATTCTTCTGTAATAAGAGAGAGGCGAAATATACCAAAGGGATAGTCAAACTCTAGGTCGAAAACGAATTGACAATGCCATGACAAGAAACGAAAAACGACTAAAAAACAAACAACAGTCTACAAAACACAACCCATAAAAGTAAAGACTGAGCAACACAAACCCCATCAAAATCCGGGGGTGATATCAGGTTCTACGGAAGGGTAAACAGATCCTGTTACACATGTGGCACCCATCGTGTTGCTAATATAAGTACAAACCAAGTTGTATCCTTTATTTCAAGTTCGATGGGATATATTTGTAGATTTTGAATCATTCAGTGAGAGGACATTATCTATAAAGCGGAACATGAATTTAAAGGATGATCCTAGCTTCTTTTCATTCTTCATCAAAAGATCCTGTATGAAGTATGCCTCATATAAATAACGTAACAATGCGTTAAGAAGAGGAGCACAGTTGATTCCCGTTGGAATGCCGATTGTTTGTTGAAAAACACGTCCTCCGAACGTAACAAATATTTTAACAATAAAAAAATCAAGCATCTTGATAATGTCCATTTCAGAGAATATTTTGTTTGGATCAGAGTGGATTTTATAAAGAACGATGGCTCCCTTAAACATGTTAAACACGATAGTTGTATCTACGTTAGACATTCTGTTAAATGAAACAATGCAGGACCAATTCTTTCAAATTGATTCTCACCGAGTACTGCCGCATCCTCCCACAATAAAAAGTGGTCGCCATTATATAGCCAATGCAGCTGAAAATGGCGTTAAGCACCATCAAACAAACATACATACACACTTTCAGTTCGAGAAGATACGAACTCCCTTTAGGAAATTAGCCTCCAAGCAACTCAACAGTCTTGTGGCCATGGTGGCTATCGTAAAACTATTTTTTTTTAAATTTAAAAAAAATCTTGCGTGGATCACACATCAAAAGGGATATGATTACACACTCTTTGCTCTTCAAAATATTCTGAAACTTATAAACCTGACCATGGCTCTCACTAAATTCAACGGTAAACTTTAACGTTGTCCTTTTTATACACCACGTAGGGTGGTAGTGGCTATCATATTTTCTGGTCTGTGTGCATCCGTTCGTTGTTTTGTCCGTCCGTTTGTCCGTATCGTGTCAGTTTCAAGCTTTTGGTTAAGGTAGTTTACCATGAAGTTGTGTTTACATCAACTTGATACCTAGTACACACGTTAATTAGGATAAGAACTTTTTGATTAATATGCCAAACTACGGTTTTGATCAAAATTTCACGGTTTACAGACCTTGTATAAAGCAGGTGAGTCATCTCAGCGTATTCACTCTAGTTTTTTTTCCTTATCTGTAATGAGATTCCGTTGTCAAAATTTACTTGAAAAGTTGTTAAACCACTGCTCAAAATCGTCTCTACTTGTTCTACACTGTAAGAAATCTAATGGAAAGTACAGCGGTCATATGAGAGTGATCGACGGCTTAATTTTTTTATCACAAAATCAAGCACATTAAAGCTTGCTTTTAGTAACTTAGATCTATTGTCAGTGTTATTTGTTTATTTGAACTTTGTGTTTTTGTCGTCTGTGATAGGAATATTTGTAACCCCTGTAATATAAAAGTTAAATAGGAATATTCCGAATCGATTTTTGTTTTGTGTCATTTTCAACTGTTTGTAGATTGATTAGCATTTTTTCTTTCAATTTTTCTAATTTAGTTAATTTCAAGGATGAAGAAGTCACTGTTCTCAGTGACAATAATGGCAACAGCGTGAATGTCATTGAATATGATGGATACTATCTGTCAAAGAAGGCAATAGAGAAGGAACGTATTGCAGACCATCGAATTAATATACCAAATATAATCAAAATGCATATCAGACCAGACGATGTATTCTTGGTAGCTTACCCAAAAGCCGGTGAGTAGTAAAATTGTTAGTTTTCAAATTAACACACACAAACTCGTGCATAATTACTAAGTAAAAGTGGCAACACTTCAGGTAGTCTTTGGTATGCTTTTACTTCTTCAGATATTGAAAATAGTTTATTTCGTGATAAAAGAGTATGGTTGCAATAGCTTTCGATAACTTCTTACATTTGTTGATAAGTGTGTGTGTGTGTGTCTTTTTCAAAAAATTGCCTCGTGTATTTTCTATAAGTTGATATCTTTGTAACATTTCACTAAACTAAGGTGTTGAAGAATTTGGTAGATCTGTTATCATAAAAGTAATGGTCTTCACACAGCATTTTATCCATTAGCCAACTGTGTGTGGGTAAATGTGTGAAAGAAATCATTCTCTTTATCAAGTATTGCTTTTGGTGGAGCCATGTCATTTATTCACTTCAAAAATATTTGATCGATCTACCAAAACAAAAATATTTTTCATTTATTAATTAAACATGAGTTTATAAAAGTCAGGTTTTAAATCAACTTTTAAATGCGCACCCTATTGATTAGTTGTATGACAATTTCGTATGATTAGGGCAACATTTTGCTCTTTTTATTATTATTTAATTTTTTATTATTTTTACATAATAACTTTTAAATAAAATATAGACCCTCAAAAATATTTTTTTCTCGCTAAATAAAAATTTTAATATTTAAGTCTCCCAAACGAAGTTTGGGAAGACTTATTGGTTTTGCTCAGTTCTTATTATTATTATTATTATTATTATTCTTCTTCTTCTTCTTCTTCTTCTTCTTCTTCTTCTTCTTCTTCTTCTTCTTCTTCTTCTTCCTCTTCCGCCACTTTTAAATTTGAACTTGTCCGCACCCGTTCTCCAAAACCGCTTGTCAGATTAACTTAGGGTTTCACAATATGTTAAACAAACATGTCTAGTGGTGCAATCAGGGTTTTGTTTGTGCAATGGGGTTTATAAAGGGGTACTTTGAGGGGCAATAAGAAAGGAGGGTTTTACTATAGAACCCTATGGGATTTTATTTTTTTTAATTTTCAAATGATTATGAATTGAAAACCGTTTGTGATAGACACAATCTTTTTAATTGAAAATGTTCTAAATGAAAAAGCACATTAAATGAAATACAGGGTTAGTCCCCAGGGGTCACCCCCATCCCCAGCCATTTAAGAAAGTTCTTATAACTTGTAAGTGGTCAAGATCCCCACCCCTAAACCATATATATTCTGGTTTGTCATGCTAAGAAGGTTTGAATGATATACAGGGTTAGTCCCCAGGGGTTATCCCAACCCCCTGCCATTTGAGAAAGTTCTAATATCTTGTAAATGGTTGAGATCCCCACCCCTAAACCATATATATTCTGGTTTGTCATGATAAAGCACATCAAATGAAATACAGGGTTAGTCCCCAGGGGTCACCCCCACCCCCTGCCATTTAAGAAAGTTCTAATATCTTGTAAGTGGTCAAGATCCCCACCCCTAAACCATATATATTCTGGTTAGTCATGCAAAGATGGTTTGAATGATATACAGGGTTAGTCCTCAGGGGTCACCCCCACCCCCTGCTATTTAAGAAAGTTCTAATATCTTGTAAATGGTCGAGATCCCCACCCCTAAACCATATACATTCTGGTTTGTCTTGATAAAGCACATCAAATGAAATACAGGGTTAGTCCCCAGGGGTCACCCCCACCCCCAGCCATTTAAGAAAGTTCTAATATCTTGTAAGTGGTCAAGATCCCCACCCCTAAACCCTATATATTCTGGTTTGTCATGCTAAGATGGTTTGAATGATATACAGGGTTAGTTCCTAGGGGTCACCCCCACCCCCTGCTATTTAAGAAAGTTCTAATATCTTGTAAATGGTCAAGATCCACAACCCTAAACCATATATATTCCTGTTCGTCATGTCTCGAACATTTGAATGACGTTTAGGGTCAGTCCCCAGGGGTTCCCCCACCCCCAATGTTCTAGTATCTTGTAAATGGTCGAGATCCCCACCCCTAAACCATATATATTCTGGTTTATCATGCGAAGATGGTTTGAATGATATACAGGGTTAGTCCCTAGGGGTCACCCCCACCCCCTGCTATTTAAGAAAGTTCTAATATCTTGTAAATGGTCAAGATCCCCACCCCTAAACCATACATATTCTGGTTTGTCATACCAAGATGGTTTGAATGATATACAGGGTTAGTCCCCAGGGGTCATCTCGACCCCCTGTCATTTGAGAAAGTTCTAATATCTTGTAAATGGTCGTGATCCTTACCCCTAAACCATATATATTCCTGTTCGTCATGTCTCGAACATTTGAATGACGTTTAGGGTCAGTCCCCAGGGGTTCCCCCCACCCCCAATATTCTAGTATCTTGTAAATGGTCGAGATCCCCACCCCTAAACCATATATATTCCGGTTTGTCATGCCTAGATGATTTGAATGATATACAGGGTTAGTCCCCAGGCATCACTAATGCATATAACTTTACTGGACCAAACCAATTTTCACTGGACTTTGTCCAATGTCAGGCGACCCTGGGAATTACGAATTATGGGAGCTTCGTTTGGGAGACTTCGTAACCGCATCCTGTTACAATCATTTCTTGTTTAATATGAAGTTATTTGATTGTTAATATGATCTACAAATTTCTTCGTCTTTTACTCTTATGTTTCACTGCTTGCTGTTTTATGAAGATAGCTATGAAATTTATAAATTGTTGTTTTCATTTTTTTCTATGAAGTTAAGTCATCATTGATATAGTGATGTTTATTTCTGTTCCTTGTGATGTTACATGTATGTTGTGTCATTTTCGCTATCTCGCGCGGTAAAATATTTGGTATAAAGGGCCAACCCGTGATAAATTCAATATATAAATTCAATCCCATGAATAATTTCTTAATTTCTCCGTGAACATCCATTGAAACTAGCGATGAATTTATTATATAGTGATTAAACCACCATGTAATTCTTATTACTCTAAGTAGATCGAATACCAACACGACTACCCATGTGTGCAGGTGTTCTCATTTGTTTATCATGCTATTTCTATTTGTTGTCAGCGGTTTTTTCTTTATTATTTGTAAATACTGGACATTGGGATATACTATATAAGTACACTATTTATTTGTCCCTAAATTGCTAAAATTATTTCTATTTTTAAAAACATAAAACACAAAACAAAAATGAACTTATTGTCTGCTGAACTTTGGGGTTGTACGCTAAGAAGTTAATATGACACGGCTATTTTTCAGGTACGCACTGGACATGGGAAATTACTACCATGTTGAAGCAGGACGGCAAAGAACAAAATCTACCCAAAGAAGTAGCAATGCTTCCATTTGAAACACCAGAAAAAATTGACGAGCTACCATCACCCAGACTTATAAACAGCCATTGTTGTTTTAAACACTTACCACAAGAAATACTGGAGAAGAAAAATAAGATTATATTTGTAAACCGTAATCCAAAAGATGTCGCTGTATCCTTCTTCCATCATTGCCAACATGCTGTTGATTATAAGGGGACATTTAGTCAGTTTTTAGATTTCTTCATGTCGGAAAAAGGTGAGCTTGTTATTTGTTCGTTCCGCATGCTTGAACGAAGTTATAATTGAGACTTGCCGGTCTATAGCCTTTTAGACTAGTTCGATGGGCGCATTACATTTGCGTGCATTTGGGGATTAAAGTTGTTTGTACGTTTGCGCGCAGCTTTGTATTACATTTGCGCGCACTTTTACAGGTCACACATGTAGATATAAAGATAATTCATAAAAGATAAGTCGCTAGTTATTAAATTTGAGCTCATTTGTTATTTTGAGTTATATATTTTTCATATTGAATTCTAAAAAAACCATATTAAGTCTCCATGAGAATCCCGTAATCGCTTAAGGCATCCATGTAACTTAATTACGAATTTTGAAGAGCGAATAATATTCTGTTTCCCAATTTTTCAGAATAGCGATCGCTTTACTTTAATAAGTTAATATAAAAATAAGGAGATGTGGTATGATTGCCAATGAGATAACTAGCCATCAAAGTTCAAATGAAGTGGATGTCAGCAATTATAGGCAACCGTACGGCCTAAGGCAGTTTGTAAAGTTGCGTCAAAACACAAACATGAGTTTCGATTGTCAGAAACAAATCGGGGAACAAAAACCTTTAGTGTACAGTGTATTTACTTTACTTATCGACAGAACACTCTTTAAAAAAAACAGAGTATCTGATAGGGCAATTCCGAAAATATCAGAATGCAGAAGTTGATCGGTAGCTTTTGTTTTGTGTTTCTTTTGAATTTTTAGGGCAGAATGGGAAGTTTTTATATTTATCTCACAAGTATTTATTAGTTTTATTTGATTATGTTCGGATCTAGTACCCTTATTTGGGTTTCAGAGACAGTATTATAAGTTATTTGGCACAAAGTGAGACATAATAGGAAAGATCGTGAAGCAAAGATTAGCGCCATCCGTTCTGAGGGTTACGATTTAGGCTAGACTGAAAGGAAAATAAAATACTCAATAGGGAAAACAAAATAAAACTTAGTCATCAGACCTAAAAGGTTATATTCGGATTCCTTTATAAGACTGACACGCGATATCTTGAATTCAAAATATTTTTACTCTCTCCAATGAATTACTAGAAAATTGTTTCAGGTAAAAGTAATACTCTCGACTTCAGCGTCGTCTAAAGTATACAGCGTGAGTTACAAATAAATTTTCTATGTCCCGAGGTTTACAGAAACATTGTTGACATTGTTAATAACTATACTTGCGTGTTGTTTTGTTGTACTTACCTCCCAGTACGTGTGCGTTTTAGACCCATACTTTCCAATGAAATTGAATGCAATGATAGAATTCCAAATTATTTATAACATATGCATATACATATACACCAATCAGAACTCGAACTAACTTTTGTTAGGTTATGATTTAAAGATGTATGAATTTATGTAGCTTCGCACCGTTAAGCAAAAACTTAAATCATTCTCGTAAATATCTTTTAAACATAACATGAAGGATACACTGTAATGGAGATCAAAGAGAACATACAAAAGGACTGACTTTTTTTCAGTTTATCACTGCGCATGGTACAAATACGTGCTGGACTGGGAAAGGGTATTCAAACAACACCCAGAGCTTCAAGTATTGTATGTCAACTACGAAGATTTACACACGGTAAGTACATTTGAGTATTATATAAATAGCGAATCTTTTCTTGTCTGATATTACTAGCATGGCTGTATAAAGAAGTAGTGCTAATTCCATACTAGACACACTTCAAAATGTCAATAATCTTACCTATTTTTTTTATCAAAATGCCTTTAACAGCAACTGCTCTGTATAACATTTTGATCTTAAATCATATATCATTCGAATTCTAATCCATTTTATTCCACGAATTGTAACTTTTATTATTTTAAAAGCTTACCTGATGTAGATATATTCTTATTGTGCTGACTAATCTCAAAGTTGCTATGAACATGTATTTAACTCGAGATTAATTATTACAGGACCCAATGAGAGAAACAGATCGAATAGCCACCTTTTTGGACGTTCGAAAGTCTGAAGAGTTTTACAGTAAAGTATTAGAAAAGTGTTCCTTTTCTGAACTTAAACAGTCATATAAAAAACGGAACAACATGGACTTTATGTTTAGGAAAGGTAAGCATATTATGATGTAGTACTTTGAGATATGATGCATACACACATGCACCTTTCATTTTATGCTTTTGAAGTGAATTCTCAGAGTGTTTGAATACTGCCTCTATATACATGAAAGTTATATGAATTACAGGTGTAAACATAGTTTTGAAACAAGAATTTTATTTTCATTCACAGAAAGTAAATACAATTTATCTGTTTAATATTGGCATGTTATTCAAATAGCATTTCAGATGTTGCAAAAAATAAATAAGAAAATAAACCTTGAAGAATTAAAAGCAAACCTGACCTTGATCTCATTTTAATGGTCCATTCGTCAATATTAAGTTTTCATGGTTAAGTCTGTTTATCAGATACTATAACAAATAGGTCAACTATATTTGGTGTATGGAATGATTGCATGGTGCACATGTTGTCTGGCAGGGTTCATCTGACCGTGACCTCATTGCGTAAACCCCTGAGGGTTTACGCAGTATATATTGGACGATGTCCGTAGTCTTTCGGAAAACCGGATGTTATTCGGAATACATCTGTTTCTTTCTATGGCCACCTTTCATATACATGCGCAATAGCTTATTATTTGACCTGTTGAATCATTGGCATCTTAAAGTTGCTATAGAGATATGTTACATATGATGCGAAATTTATTATGACGCAAGCTACTTTAATAAGCATTTGAATACTTCCTTGCACGCAAATACCGTGGAGCTGCTAATATTTACCTTACATATACGTGTTATTCTAATTCGAGTCAGACGTTGAAACCAGCTGTGTTTAGATATGAGATAAGATTTCACGTAAACAATGCGATTTATATTCGAAACGAGATTTGTTAAAACTAAAATCTATAAAAGAAGTATTACTAGCATTTCACTTAAGATTCCGAGTCTAGGGAAAATGTACATAATGTACGAAGCAGGCTATTTCATAATTTTCATACCTCAACGTCTTTGTGGGACTAACTAAAGGACAATACTGAAATTAAAATGAAGTCTTTCTTGCACTTTATTGAAATTTTACGTCTAGGATAGACCACGGACGTATATATTCTAAATTGATATACGTCCTTGAATAGTTTTTATTTTCTTTAAAATTGCAATATTCTTTGTTTAAATATTGCAACGTTATTTCCTTATCAAATGTCTATTAATTAATAGACACCGAGTGATGACAGATGCAGGCAGTGATAAGAAAAATTAAATAAAATTAATTTCTATTTATAGTTATCTTGGTCAAGGAACAGATTATCTAACTACTTAGTATATGTTCGGCCTGTAGTAATTAATGCTCTTCAAAATGTTCCTCAAAATAAAAATAGATAATTATTATTTCATAAAGACGATCAGATGATGAATTTTCGGTTTTAATATATTAAGTACGAAAATGTAAAATAGTGTAAGAAGATTTTAAGCCATCTCACTGATCAGTAGGCTACACAGTGCCCCCAAATGACCAGTATTAAACTATCCAGCAAGAGAGAAAAGGGATAGCCGGATCAATGTAAGAAACCTACTAGGCAACTTCAGTTCAATTTCAATATCTCGATTATTCTAATGGATTTGTCAAATGTCAGGGAATATCTTTTTAAATGTGGTAGGAAGACAACTCTCCATCAAAACACAGTGTAGTCAAAATTAGCAATTATAGGTTATAATTCAACCTTCAACACAAAAGCTTGGCTCACATTGGACAGCATCCTACCGAGGGCCCCAAAACACTGTTATAAAACAATTTAAACAGGAAAAAACAAACAGATCTAATTTAACTTCAAACCAGAAACAAAAAGCAAATATGAACTGCACCAAAAAAAGACAACCACTTAACAGCATGCTTCGGACTTGGGACATGTGCTTATGAATACACCTGGTTTAAAAGAATTTACTTACATACCATAAGACAGTAGTGTAATTTTACCATGTAAAAGACACCCTTTAATATTTAATGAAAAAATCGTGTTCAGATAAAAAAAATCGTAAGGGTTCCGCGGAACCCAGTGTCTCGCCTACTTTTACTGTAAATCGCAGGCTCAACAAAAATGAGGAAAAACAACAATAAAAATATTCCTCTCAATACTATTTTTTTTTCATTTTAAGAAGCTTCTGTCCAAGTTTGGTAAAAATCCGGGATAGTTTATAAATCTAAAAAATTTAACTTCAGACTGTATGTATGTTAACTGGAAGAAAAACTAAGTCCATTTATAAGTAAAATACAGATAAACAGGTACAAATTTTTAACAAAAAATTTCCTTCTAGATACTAGCTTTTAATCATAAACAAGCTGTCCAAGTTTGGTACAAATCCAGGATAGTATAAGAAAGTTATTAAAATTTTTAAAAAAATTTAACCTCGGAGTGAATGTATTGTATCCCAGCAGAAAACTAAGTCCATTTATAAGTAAAATACGGAAAAAATGGAATTTCATTTTTACAAAATTTACTTCTGGATACTATCTTATGATCATAAACAAGCTTCTGTCCAAGTTTGGTACAAATCCAGGATAGTTTAAGAAAGTTATTAGAATTTTAAAAAACTTTAACCACAGAGTGAATGTATTGTTTCCCAGCAGAAAAAACTAAGTCCATTTATAAGTAAAATAAGGAAAAATGGAATTTTATTCTTACAAAATTTACTTCTGGATACTATCTTATGATCATAAACAAGCTTCTGTCCAAGTTTGGTACAAATCCAGAATAGTTTAAGAAAGTTATTAAAATTTCAAAAACTTTAACCACAGAGTGAATATTTGTGGACGCCACCGGCGACGACACCGACGGAATGTAGAATCGCTTTGTCTCGCTTTTTCGACTAAAGTCGAAGGCTCGACAAAAATGAACACCTTACAACAATACATAAATGTGACCTTTAAACAAACTCATATTTAGGTGATGGGTATACTATCAGTGGTAATTTCAGGTTTGACCATGTTAGTTTTTTTGTTGTTTTCAATTTTGTTTGTTTGTTTATAAGCACAAGGTGTAAGCTGTTTTGTCTAGGCTATAAATATCTTTTTTAATGAATTGGTTTCGGTCATCAAGGTGAAGAGGATACAGTGCGATTCAAATTGTATATATTTACAATTAAACTTGCAGGCTTTTTTCATGACCCACAATTTAAAATATAAGAAAACATCAAAATAAAAAGGGACATCCGGAAAATATCTTCAAAGCGAGTTAAAGGTTTTAAAAGTGTTTGTTTTTAACAAAAGAGGTTTGTCATCTAAAACCTTTAAGAGAATACACAAAGCACAGAACTTAAAATTGCCAATGCTTGCTACCCTAAGCAAAAAAAACCTTGCATAGCAGGTGTAAGGATCTTAATAATGATCAATATCAAGCCATTGTTCAAATAACAATGAACATATCTCAAATTCCAATAAAAACGGCTATTTTACAGGTGCACGTATTGCATTTCTTAAGAACATATAATCATTAATTGATTAAATTTCTTCACATTTTTATTTGAACTTTAGCCAAAAACCTAACTCTAATTTAAAAACAAAAACCAGCATCTTAGAATGGAACATCAAGTGGGTGACTTAACATGATGTCTTTTGGGAGAGAGGAGAGAAAAAAATATTCCTTTAACAAGAATATTTCACCCCACATTGAACAGTATTTACATTAAGTAAACAGTCACTGTCAGTTTCTAATTCTTATATAACAAAAATGATATAAAACAATAATTTTTTTTTTTTTAAACAATTATCTTATATCTAATGCCAAACAAGCATTTGGGTTTACGATTGCATTTCTTTTTTTAAAGAAAGCAGCTTGTTTTAATGGTTTGTTGGTCAATGTACAATTTTCGTAATTAGTATAGAAATAAGGAGATGTGGTATGATCAACAAAGTTCAAATGAAGTGGATGTAAGCAATTATAGGCAACCGTATGGCCTTCAACAATGAGAAAAACTCATACCGTATAGTCGGCTGTAAAAGGCCCCGACATGAAAAAATATGAAACAATTCAATTGAGAAATCTAACGGCCTTATTTATAACAAACCAATTTACGAAAAACAAATATAATAGACATGAACCAACGACATCTAGGTCTGTTTCTTAGATACTTTAAGTACTAGGCTAACTATACGTGTTGTATAGTCTGATTGAAAGGTGTACATGTCTGTCTGGTATGGTTCATCTGACCTTGATCTCATTTACATGGATCTTTGATAATGTTAAGTATATATGATACTTGTAGTAAACCCTATTTTAATATCGAACTCGGACTTCTTTTAAACTGATTTAACTGTGCGTATTGCTGTGTATTTGTTTATTCCACATTGGCTAGAGGTACAGGGGGAGGGTTGAGATCTCACAAAACATGTTTAACCCCGCCGCCTTTTTGTGCCTGTTCCCAGCAGGAACCTCTGGCCTTTGTTAGTCTTGTATGTTTTTTTAATTTTGTTTCATTTATATGTTTCGGGGGTTAGTGTGGCGTCCATTTTGCTGAACTAGTAAACATAATTGTTTAGGGGCCAGCTGAAGCCCGCCTCCGGGTGCGGGATTTTCTCACTGCGTTGAAGACCCATTGGTGGCCTTAGGCTGTCTTCTGCTCTTTGGTCGGGTTGTTCACTGTTTGACACATTCCCAGTTCTCATTTTTCATTCTGTCTTCATATTACAGACTTTCAACAAAAATTCAATCATCATAAGTAAAGCAGGCGAGACATTTCAGCGTGTGCACTCGTGTTCTTCTTGATCTACTGATGCCATCAGTGATAATGTTTATGATATAGCATTTACAGCTTATAAAGTATAGATGATCATAGGGCACCGATAATTTTAGTTTCATTTTAGTCGTCCCGTTTGGAAATGAGGATTTTTTTCTTTGAAATCTTTATAAATTTTTTTTACGAGCGGCTTTCCCTAGTAAAAGAATTACGCACCGTTGTATCTGAATGTTGCCATTAGAAACACACCAAATTTACAGGTTTTGTCTCCTGTGAATTTCATAAGTATCAACAACATGTGAATGGCTAATGATGAAGGGGACACTCCACTAAATAGGCATCCAGTTTAGTTTTTTTGTTGTGAATGTTCATTACAAATTGATAGCAGCTATGATTATTTAAGCATTACTAAAATAGTCCAGCTAAATGGTGGAACGCCCCTAAATGTTCCCTGTTGATGCCAACTTGAATTTAGATATCTATTTCATGACACACCGTCATACCGTCATTCACGCGTTCACAAATTCATAAAACTGTTATCAACAACAATTATTATGCATGAATTATTTAGTTTGAATGCTATTAGTCAGTCAGTTTGAATAGAATGCAAAATTTCATTGGTAGAAAATTTCAAATGGTCACACTGATGAATTGAAAAAGAGCTATTCAACACTAATAAATGAAAGAAAATCACGAAATTGAGAAAACTAGAAAAAGCTATGAAATCGGTATTTTTTATAACTGATCACCATATTCTGTCAAGATTACCTGGATTTTCTACACCATTTTTGGAGTTTTCAAATACTTAATTTTACATTTTCATAGCTTTGTGTGACTGTGTCCTTAGAAATATTAAAAAGTTTATGTCGTCTTAGGACATGTCACTAATTATGCATTCTTAAATAATGGATGAAAACTGCAGTTTTGAAAGGTTTTGGTGGCTTTTGAGTATTTATCCAATACATCAATTAGAAGGACATCACATACACTTTGATTGAACGTTAAACTTTATACTATAAAATGTCTTACAGATGCATTAACTTCATTTTGGTTTTGAATAATATTTCGAATTTATGAATTATGAATTATGTTAACATTCAGGTGCAGTTGGTGACTGGAAGAATTGGTTTACTGTAACAGACAACGAAAGATTTGAGAACTATTTGAAAGAAAAATTATCCAATCCTTTTGTGAAATTTACTTACTGTTTATGATTCTTTTTATGTTTATTACATTTTTGTACGTTAGTAAATCCAATTACTGAAGTAACTTAGAAATGAGACGATCTGGTATGATTGTCAATGAGACAACTATCAACCAGAGACCAAATTTCGTAGATGTAAGCAATTATAGGTCATCGTACGGCTTTCAACAATGATTAAAACGCATTCATTAAAATAACTATAAAATATCAACCACTAATTCTGAATTAGTGGAAATATAATGGACTGTCTATCATAAATGTTGTGCATTAAATATTCATTTCAATCATAATTGGTCACATGTTTTACTATCAACAGTGGTCACTGATAATATATATATATATATATATATATATATATATATATATATATATATATATATATATATCAGTGACCGCTGAGGATAATAAACTAACAATTGATAGTAACTAGTAAACATATGTTACTTCTACTATATCTATGTAAATCTAACCATAGATATTCTGTGGTCTAACATAGAACACGCGGAAATAACTGAAATTAAAAGAAAAAAATAACGCATTATGGGGAAAAAGGGGGAAGGCAAAGAAAAAATGTCCTCTACCCAAATAACTATGATGCCAACAACACGTGTTTCTGGATATTTTCAAGACTCAATTTTTATAAATGAAATTCATAATACATAAGAAATTATCAAACAAAAGGACCAAAACTTTCTATAAAGTCAACCTTGCCGGAGGGAGTTACAACATTAGTGTTAGGAAAATTTCATTGTGAATTTAGAATAAAAATGTGGCATTCACCAGCAATTGCATTGTACTTTTTAAGAACTTGCTGCTACAATTTCTCATGATAATCTTCATAAATAATTGTGACAAACGTGACTTTCATTGAGGGTTTTTTTCCTTTTGGCTCCTTCTTGTACATTTCTGAGTCGGCCAGATACGCGGTTATTAGTGCGGGGTGACATGATTATAGCATTTCAAGGAGATGAAGAATGAACGATAATGAGACAGCAAACAAACGATAAAAATAATTTAAAGACCATTAGAGAGCTACATACAAGTTTCTTTAGAATATGTCAAGCTCTAAATCGTCCCGGGTCCATACAAATATGACTTTGACCTATAATGGTTTACTTTTACAAATTGTGACTTAGATGGAGAGTTGTCTCATTGGCACTCATACCACATCTTCTCATATCTATTGAATTCAGTAACTGCACGAGTTCTTGTCATGTGGTTGTTCCAAGGCAGAAAATTCAATGGTTGTATTTAAAAAATGAAAACAACACGTTATAAAAGAGGGACGAAAGATACCAGAGGGACAGTCAAACTCATAGATCGAAAACAAACTGACAACGCCATGGCCAAAAATAAAAAGACAAACAGACAAATAATAGTACAGATGACACAACATAGAAAACCAAAGACTAAGCAACACGAACCCCACCAAAAACTGGGGGTGATCTCAGGTGCTCCGGAATGTCATAAATGTCATGCTTCCGAAGCGCTTTTCTGCATTTACCTTCATCAGGACGCTCAAAGCCGAATATTTGAAAGCCAAGGATCTATAAGGACCTAAAACGTTGAAGAGCTATAAACCAAAAAGGACCTAAAAAAATTACCAAAACTGTGCCTGAGGGAGTTGAAACCTTAGTTTCTGTATAATTTCAAAATTTATAAACGGGCAATTTTAGATAGTCTGTTAAAAATCATGTCAGTACCGAAGTACTGACTACTGAGCTGATGATACCCTCGGAGACTGATAGTCCACCAGCAGAGGTATCGACTCAGTGCTGTTAAAAAATGAAAACAACACGTTATAAATTTCATGCGTCAGAAGCGCTTTTCTGGATTTACCTTCATCAGGAACGCTCAAAGCCGAATATTTGAAAGCCAAGGATGTGTAAGGACCGAAAACGTTGAAGAGCTATTAACCAAAAAGATACTTCGGGGGTTTTATGTTGATTGTAGACCTTTGATAGGGATAATCTCTGTTAAACTTATTCACAATATTTTCAAGACTAGGGCTATTTGTATCTCGGGAGGGATTGTGGTTGATTTTTATATGATGAAGACATAATCTTTCGATCAGTTTAATCGATGCCTAGAGCTGGCATGTCAGTAACTGCTAGTAGTCCTTTGTTTATTAAATAATATGAGCTGCGTCGGATAGAAATCGACCTTATGCAAGTACACGTATACATGTACATGTATAAGACTTTGATTGATGTCAGAATATTCAAATACGAAATAAAAGATGATTTTGGGTCTGTTTTGTAGGGTTCTTATATCAACTCAATTTTCAAACAGTTACAGACTTTGCATAGAGATTTTTTCAACCCGAAATAAGTTAACAGATGTAAATATTTGATATTCATTTGCATAAGGTCGATCTTTATCCGTCGCAGTTCATATGTTATCATTATTGTTTTGCTCAGTTTCTTCTGTTACCTTTTTACATTATACTCTGACTTCTTTTAAACTGAATTTTATTCTGCGTAGTGCTGTGTGTTTGTTTATGCAACATTGGCTAGAAGTATATGGGAGGGTTAAGATACTTAGTATTAAAAAAAACCTGTATAACCCCGCCGCAATTTTGCGGCTATGCCAAGCCAGGAACCTCTAGCCTTTACTAGTCTTGTATGTTTTTTTTTATTATGGTTAATTTGTATGTTTCGGAGTTTAGTGTGGTGTCCATTTCGCTGAACCAGTATACATCATTGTTTAGGAGCCAACTGAAGCCCACCACTGGGTGCGGGAATTTCTCGGTGCGTTGACGGCCCATTGGTGGCCTTGGGCTGTTTTCTGCTCTTTGATCTCTTATGAAACATTTCCCGCTTCCATTCTGTATTCTATAGTATACATGTACCTGTTTTTGTATCACTCTGTCGAAGACATTGTGTTAACCTGTAGATTTTTTGTCATTATTGGTTTGGGTTTTTTTGTCTTTGAATCGATGTTCATCTTTTTTATTAGCTCACCTGGCCAAAAGGGTTTTTACCAAATTCTTCTGCTCTGAAACTAATATGCCATATTCAACATTACTTGTCCATAATCATCGTTATAGTATATATAATTTAAAAATGTGTCCGATGACCCCGCCTGCTGGCTAAAAATATAACATAGGGATAAAATGCAGGTTTTGTCTATTATCTTATAACTGCTATAGATAGAGAAAATATGATTTTAGAATGATGAGTCCTACCTACTGTCTATTTACATCAAAACTGTCAGACGACTTCTTAACGTAGTTATTGCCCTTCAAAGACGAATTTTACTGAAAAAAAATCATCTTGTCTATTATTTTGAAAATTATAATAGATAGAGATAAACTTTAAACAGCAAAAATGATCAGCAAGACGAGATATACAAATAAATCAACATAGCTGAAATCTTTATACGACTCTTGTTGAAGTTATTGCCCTTTAATGCCGACTTTTTTACGATTTTTTTTTCTTTTTTGTTTTCTTGAAAACTATAATAAATAGATAGACACTTTTTATAGCAAAAAGATCCACAACAGAATCAACAGAGCCGAAATCGCCAGTCGACCCCTTATTAGAGTTATTGACCTTTAATGACAATTTTTACCAATATGTGCGTTTTTACCTTTAATCTTAAATACTACTATCTATAATAGATAAATGGAAACTTTGAAAGTAAAAATTATCACCAAGACAAGATTTATAAATAAATGTAATTGCCGAAATCGTCAGTTGACTCCTTATTGGAGTTTCTGTTCTTTAACAATGATTTTTACCAACTTTTTGTGTATTTTTGTTGTTGCTTATCCTGATAACTATAATAGATATATATAGACACTTTAAACAGCAAAATTATCGACAAGGCGCGATCTATAAATAAGTCATACATGGCAGAAATCGTCAGCCGACTCCTTATTTTAGTTATTGCTCTTTAATGACAATATTTACCATTATTTGCGTTTTTGCTTATAATCTGTAAAACTATAATAGATTGATAGACATTTTAAATGGCAAAAATAATATCAGAAACTTGAAGACAAGTTTTATAGTATTTATATTCCTTTTTCCAAGCCTGGATTTCCTTACGAATTCGTTTTCTATTAACATTTATTCTAACAGTCATGCTGTTTTTTCTACAGAACGTTGTGAATCTTTATTTTGTTTAGTGACCAGTTCTATATTTTTGCATGTCTCGAATTATTATTGCCAATTGTCATGTCCCCGTGTGATTCCTTAATTGTAAAAAAAATGTTTGTTGTATTGTATATTACCATTCTTAGATTTGAATATGGGCAAAAGCAGGAATTTCAAAATTAGATTAACTGGTGTCTTTTCATCAGTTGTTAGTGCAGTAACTAATGGGTACCTCTTCAGCAACTGTGAAATTTAAAAGTTTCAGTGCTATGATTTGCGCCAAGAAACTGAAAAGGAATATGCATAGCCAGCATAAAGTCACATGTACGCCACAAAGTGTTCTTAATGCATATCAAAAAGTAAATTTACATTTTATAGTATGTCAATAATACTAACGAATTCAATGACCAGGATTTTAACCTTACAGTTTCCTTTATGAATAGCTGTATAAAGCACGAATGTTAAATATTCAGGAAAAAATACAGAACAAGATATCCTTAGCTACAGGTAAGTAAGTTAACAAATCCCTTCTTTATTTTGCCAATTTGACTTCCCTTTTTGAACCATGATCCTAAAAGAAAAATGAAAATAATACTTGACAGCGCTTTTCTGGATTTATCTTTATCAAGAACGCTCAGAACCAAATATTCGAAAGTTTATTTATAAACGAAGTACAGATACAGCATTAGAATTTCTGAAAGTTAATAAAACTGTAACTCGCAACAATCATTCATTCGCCAACTAATTACTTAATCTATCATTTTAAAACTGCTTAGTAAAGAAAGCAAATGTGGAAACAATTTTATTCTTATTAAGTAAATATGCAGACGATGCAAGATAAAATTCGTTTGAGGGACTACTATTTGATTTTTAGGGGGGAGGAGGATTCTGAAAATTAATGACTTGGCCTGGTGAGAACTGGAAAGTAAATAACTTTTCATAGGATAAAAATGAATATTCTGCAACACAACATACAGGAAAAAATGTGTACACACAAAAGTGAAAATAAATTTTCGCGCTGCAAAGTCGTGGAAAAAAAGCATGCGAAGCAACAAATGAAAATAATGATCAATCTGGGAAAATATTCCTCCTGGTTCCTCCAGAATATCAATATATTATATGAAAAAAGATTTTCTTACAGTTTTTACACATTTTCAATTAAAACAGGCCTAGTTTACAAGAAGATGCAGTTCTACCATGGCTTATTCTTGACAGGACCTCGATTATCCATTAAAGGGATAAGTTAAAAAAAAACATAGGAAATATAAAACACCTTCAAACTTGATTATTGAAAATCATCACAGTGACTGTAGTTGTGTTTCAATAATAATAAGAACATCATTTTTTCAAACCCTTCAATTTTTAATTGATATAGTGAGACGGGTCTAAATCACTCACCTGCTGATACGGCACCTGCTGATTTTGCACCATTAACCTGCCAATTTTGCCCCTATGTAGAACAACTAAAGTTACTTCCTTTTGTACATTAACCGATTTTAAATTGAAAATTAATGTCATGTTACTTTATTAATTAAGTTAAGATAAATAACAGCTAGAAATTAATTATGTAAAATCGCAGGAAAGTATAATTTAAATGGTTTGTATAATTTTGAATACACTGTTGAACATTTTGCCTTTATTATAGTTCACAATAAGAATATATCAACGATTTGTATAGTCGTACTATACAAATCCTTGAATACATATATTAATTTGGAAAACAATAATTTATTAATCTTGCAAAGTTAAAAAAAATAGTGAAATGAAATTATTTAAACTTTTACATGTAGCAGGAAAATAACTTATATGACTGTTTGGACCCCACTAATAGAAGTTAAGCATACATAATATAATTTCACAATGATTTTATGATTAATGCAAAACGATATATTTCAGTAATTTACCAGAGGTAAAAGGGGGGGGGGGGGGGGGGGGGGGGGGGGGGTAGTCATTCTGAAATTTGACTACGTTTATGATGATCATGATTATCATGATAAATGTAGGGTATCCTTATACTTTCAATGTAATCATGGTGTAAATGTATTTTATAATTTGTATAAATACAAACCATTTTATTACTTATTTTAATCACATATATTTTGATACAGGTACCTACGGAAGCGTATATCGGTCAAGCGTTATTAGTAATTTTGATGTAAACTTGTGTTATTTTACGATAATTAATGCCTTAAAAGATGAAAATATAGGAATATTATATAACAAATATGTCGTTATTAACTATAGTGTTGCTTTAGTTTTCTTTTGGTGTTACTTTATAATATTAAACAAATTTGATTTAACTGTTGATATTATTATAATTGTAAACTTGTGTCATTTTATGAGAATTTAATGCTTAATAAGATGATAATATTGCACTATTATAAAACGATTATGCCATTATTAATTATAATGTTGCTTTAGTTTTCATTGGGTATTACTTACAATATTAAAAACAATTTAATCGGGGGCGTAGCTACCTTGTTAATGAAGTGGAATCACAAACTGAAAAGCGAGGGATATGGGGGCTGCCTAAGGCCCCCAGTTGGTCCAGGGCCGTTGAAAGTCCTGGTAGGGGGCAGGGGACGAAGTCACCCGGATGCTCCGCATATATAGCGTTTCAAAACAATCACAACCGTATTAAAATTTGTAGTTTTGTTGTGGTTTTTTGGTCAGTTATTTGTTTAACTTCGACATATACGAGTCGAATGAAGACTAAAATTGTTATGTGCGTTTTTTGTTCGCCGTGAGAGCTTTTAAAATCATGGAGATTTGTTCCATATATTAGTATTTGTATTGAGGAAAGTAGATATAAAAATAAGGAGATGTGGTATGATTGCCAATGAGACAGCTCTCCAGAAGAGACCAAATGACACAGTAATTATTAACTATATGTCACCGTACGGCTATCAACAATAAGTACAACCCATACATAACAAAGTGGCATCAGTTGTTTTCCATTCGTTAGATGTGTTTGAGCATTAAATTTTACCAGGACTTTCCGTTCTAAATTTCCCATTGAGTTCGGAATTTTTGTTATTTTACTTTTTCAGTTGGAAGATAAGAAGTAGGAAGGGAACTGACAGGTAAAAAATTCATGAAGCTTGCTACTTAATATTAGATTTCTGCCGGAAATAGTTTCTGAGAAAATGCCATCAAAACTTCCATATGTACGAAAATAAAAAGAGTTGGGGAAACAGGAAGTAGGAAACTGAGTAGTATTTTGCTGTGATGAATAGTT